GATGAAGGAAGGAGGAGGAGGAAGGGAAGAAGAGAAAAGAAAGGAAGGAAGGGAAGGAAGGAGGGAGGAGGGAATTGAGGAGGGAGGGAAGGAAGGAAGGAGAGAAGGGAATGGAGGAGGAGGGTGAGCGGGAAGAAGAGAAGGAAGAAAGGAAGGAAGGGAAGGAAGGAGGGAGGAGGGAATTGAGGAGGGAGGGAAGGAAGGAAGGAGAGAAGGGAATGGAGGAGGAGGGTGAGCGGGAAGAAGAGAAGGAAGAAAGGAAGGAAGGGAAGGAAGGAGGGAGGAGGGAATTGAGGAGGGAGGGAAGGAAGGAAGGAGAGAAGGGAATGGAGGAGGAGGGTGAGCGGGAAGAAGAGAAGGAAGAAAGGAAGGAAGGGAAGGAAGGAGGGAGGAGGGAATTGAGGAGGGAGGGAAGGAAGGAAGGAGAGAAGGGAATGGAGGAGGAAGAAAAAAAAAAAAAAGAAAGGAAAGAAAAAGGGAAGGAAAGGCAGGAAGAGAGATAAGGAAGAAAGGAAGGGAAGGGAATAGGAGGGAAGGGAGGAGGGAAGGATGGAAAGAAGAAAGAAGGGCGGAAGAGGGAGGGAGGGAGGAGGAGATAGAGCGGAATATAAACAAAGTATGTTGTTGTTGTTGTTGTTAGAAATGTTTGCCTATATATCTGTATCTCTGAGTCCCCTCGAGGAGATAAAGCAGAATATAAACAAAGTATGTTGTTGTTGTTGTTGTCAACCAAGGCAGCTTCGCGACCCCCCAAAAATGGCCGAACGACCCCCCTGGTGGTCGCGACCCCCAGGTTGAGAACCGCTGCCCTAATGAATCAGCAACCGAGGGTTTTGGGTGTGAGTTGACAATGGCAACACAGCCATTAGATGATGATGATGATGATGATGATGATGATAGGACAGCCGAGATTGTCAATCATGGGAAGCCGTGAGCAAGCCAGGTAGTCATTACCCGGCACCTCGTTCCCTCCCAGGTGTTTCGTGGAGAGGCTTTGTTATGCAAATGAGCCTTACATAAACAAGGCACCCACAGGGCGACATGGTGCTCCCTTGTGAGCCCAAGCACTGTGTTTATTTACTCAGGGTGTGAGTCATTAGAATGAGTTGTTCTGCACCCCGAAGGCACCGTTGTTGTTGCCGGCCGATCCTCGAACCTTTTCCTTTCTCAAGCAATGCACTCCTTCTTGGTTGTGGCTCCCCTTTGCGGTGTCCCAATAGGATGGGGAACCGATCTGGGATTTTAGTCCGAACATTAGACGTCATTCTTTCATCATGTCGAACTAGAACACACACCAAAGACACTGTTTTTGTACTGCGGGAGCGATTCGTAATTCTGAGATTTGTACGATTCGTTAATACAATTCTCCGAATTTGCGGATCGCAACAGGATGTGTAAATCCTCCTCCAAAATATTACAAAACAAAACGGAAGTTTCTGAAACATTTCGGATAGATTTGGAACGATTTGTTGTTTCAGAGCATTTCGAATCATGTTACTATGATGATATTGTGGAGATGGCGAAGGGAGAAAGGGAATGGAGGAGGGAATGGAGGGAGGGAGGGAAGGAAAGACGGGTGGAGGAAAAGAAGGGAATGGAGGAGGGCGAGAGGGAGGAAGAGAAGGAAGGAAGGAAAGAGGAAAAGGGGAATGGAGAAAGGAATGGAAGAGAGAGGAAGGGCATGAAGTAAGGAAGGAGCCGGAGGAGGGAATGGAGGGAATGGAGGAGGGAGGGAGGAAAGGAAAGATGGGTGGTGGAAAAGAAGGGAATGGAGGAGGCAAAAAGGAAGAGAAGGAAGGAAGGAAGGAAAGAGGAAAAGGGGAATGGAGAAAGGAATGGAAGAGAGAGGAAGGGCATGAAGTAAGGAAGGAGCCAGAGGAGGGAATGGAGGGAATGGAGGAGGGAGGGAGGAAAGGAAAGATGGGTGGTGGAAAAGAAGGGAATGGAGGAGGCAAAAAGGAAGAGAAGGAAGGAAGGAAGGAAAGAGGAAAAGGGGAATGGAGAAAGGAATGGAAGAGAGAGGAAGGGCATGAAGTAAGGAAGGAGCCGGAGGAGGGAATGGAGGGAATGGAGGAGGGAAGGAGGAAAGGAAAGATGGGTGGTGGAAAAGAAGGGAATGGAGGAGGGCGAGAGGGAGGAAGAGAAGGAGGAAGGAAGGAGCTGGATGAGGGAATAGAGGCAATGGAGGAGGGATGGAAGAGGAAGGAAGAAAAGGAAGAAAAGGAAGGAAGGAAGGAAGGAAGGAAGGAAGGAAGGAAGGAAGGAAGGAAGGAAGGAAGGAAAAGAAGGGAATGGAGGAGGGAGGGCAAGATGGAGGAAGGGAAGGAAGGAAGGGAAAGGGAAAATAAAGGAATGGAGAAGTGAATGGAGGAAAGGAGGAAGAAAGACAGGCAGGAAGGAAGGAGTAAAAGATGGGAATTGAGAGAGGAGGAAAGGGAGGAAGGAAGGAAGAAAAAGGAGGGAAGGGCAGAGGGAAATGGCCATAAAGAGAGATATATTG